TTCCATCTCATTTCCCTTTGGGGTTGCTGTAGGTGATCTGGAAGTCTGTTTTTGAGGCTTGTTTATGTGTCTTCTCATTTCAACAGTGGGGGGTTGCTGCTGGCACCTGAGTGGCTCACCTCCTCTGCACTGGGAGCAGTGGTATGGCAGCTCAGAATCCTCCTCCTCTGTGCTCAAATGTAAATACCTTTGACGTGTACTCACAATAGTTACAAAAATTAACCAGGTAATAGCTGCAGAAGCAGATTTAACAAATTTTAGAAATTGACATATCAGCCATATTCTGTGACTCTCATATTCTGTGATAGTCAATATGATGACTATCAATTTAGAAAAAAATACACTCAGAGATACACACCTATGTAAACAAACAATTCATACATCAAGACAAAAATAGTGAAAAATATCTGTAACTTATGACAATGTCACACATCTTCATTTATATAATAAGCTATGATGTCATAAGAAAAGTAAGTTTCAAGTTGCATATATTAGAAAATAAAGTCTGAGAATGAGTCAAATTGAGATGCTAGCAAAAGAAAAACATTATAAATTCAAGTAAATAAAAATAATTATCACAAAAGAAAGAACAAAACTATTAAAATAAAAATTGTAAAGGTATAGTTGAAAATGTTATCAATTTCTGACCCAAACTAGATTCTTTCTCTCCCAATTGTGGAACTACTAACAAAGCAGTTATTCTTTGGCTAAAAAATAAAGAGAAGTCAGTAGAAATAACTCACAGATCAGCTTTCCATTACAACAAAGGATGAACCTCCTTTTAAGAGTGAAGGAGAAAGGGAGGGTTTTCGTTAGTGGATAGAGGATTACTTATGACTTTCCTGGGAAGGGAGTTAGGTCCATCCTGGAGATAAAGAGTTGCCTTGCTTTAACTCTTTCAGTCAAACTCAGTCTGGGTCAGTAGGGGATGAAGACAGGGTGGCACTGGGGTGTGGAAATTTTTTTAAGGCATTTATGCAATGTGTGATTGACAACTATAGTGAAT